TCTAGGAGGAATATCAGGGCTATACTCCTAGCCCTAGGACAGTGCACTCTGGTGATGAGTGCTGAGGGTCTGTGGCGGGGCCTAGCCCCTTAGTCTTTGCCCTTCTTGTCTGGCCCAGGTGAAGCATGGGGGCACTAGGACCCAGATGCTAGCACGGTTCCTGACAAGTCTGGAGCAGCACTAGCGCAGAGTGAGACTCATCAGCTGGCAAGCAGGATTCGGTGTCTCTGGGTTCAGGAATCCTCGGGCAGCAGAGGGGACTTGCTCCTCAGTCCCCATCTCTGTCCCCACCCCTATCCCAGCAGGTCCATGGACTGGGGTGGGCCACGTCTGATGGCTTCTGTGTTTGTCCATGAGGGCCTGGAGCCCTGACCCTCCTGCCTAGGTTTCTGCCTTTTCTCTCTGTCTTTGGCCAGCCAGGGAGGGGGTAGAGGCCGGGTGAGCAACATGGCCCAGAGCAAGAGGCACGTGTATAGCCGGGTAAGTGGCCCTGATCTGTGATGGCCCTGGGAGGGCTGCTGGTAAAGGCCTGGGTGCCTGTGGACATTGCTGTGGGGGCTGGGGAGACAGGCTGGAGCTGGGATGGGGCCACTTGCAGCCCTGGTGGTATTAGGTTGGACCGGCTTCCCCTCCTGGAGTTGAGCCCCCATTGGGGACTAGCGAAGCCTGACCTTTGACTTTTTCTGGACCTCAGGCCAGAGGCTCCTGAGGGGGGTAGACTATCTTTGGGACTCTGAATGGGGTCGGTGGATTGGAATGGCTTTACAGTGAAGCTTTTCTTTAGGGCCGCTTTGTTGTTTGTCCTTGCTTTCTTTCTCTTCGCTATGATTGAATCTGTACCCACTGTTGTGTCCACCTGGTTCTGAGAGGCTTATTAGGGGTGGGAGGCTGGGGAGAGTCTCTAAGTTTGAGACCAGCCTTGATGTCACTGTCAGTTCCTCTTATTGATAGGTCCGTGAGAGGCACCCTACATATCCCAGGTATGATTAGGGGTCCTGGAGCCCCTGGGAGCTCCTAACCTTGCTCACCTTCCTGGATGAGCTCTCTGGGGAAGGGAGTTAGGGACTGACAGGCTCCGGCCCGACTCCCTTCTGAAGCCAAGTTAGGGCGTCGGAAAGGAGCCCTGTGGAGTCTCTAGGACCATGGCATCACTTCTTCACACCTCATTCACTGTTTGCTGCATGGCACTGGTTCATGGAGCTGCTAGTGCTGAAAATGGCTCAGGTGTGATTTTCTTCTAAACCATGGGCCTGTTTGGAACCTACTTTCATGTTGCGTCCTGTCATCACCAGTGTGTCAGAAGCTGAGAGCTTCCCAAGGACAGTGTTTGGTCTCTTCCTGTGTCTTGTCCATCCTCAGGGTGACAAACTATCCATTTGGACACTGGGCAGAGTCTTGGGGGCAGAGTGCAGGACAGATCTGAGGAACCTGATTTATCTGGTCTTTGTTTTACTTTTTATAGCAACATAACATGGGGAAAGGATCTCTAGAGCTTGGGGGTAGAGTTGATAGAACAGTGTTCAGGTCAAGAAGAAGGGAGTTAAGTGGTTGAATGGGCTGCAGTGGGGCAGCCAGGAGTGTCATGGTAGGTGTGTGGATGGGGCGGGGAGTCAGGTCAGGAAGGATTGGTGGTGACTTGAGGGCTGGAAGGAGGCATAATTGTATGCTTCTGGAAGAGAGAGGCCTCAGAGAGCTGTTTGAACAGAGAGGGAAGACAGGCAACAGTGGGGAGGGGAACAGGATTCACTGGGGTCACCTATTGAATCACCTGTTCCAGCTCAGGCACCAGAGTCAGAGCATTGGGTTGTGGGGAGCCAGGTCTGAACTGAGTTATTTGCTTGAGCTTCATTCCCTTCTTGGGGGTGGGGACAGTGCTCCTGAGAAAGCAGCCATGTGGTGACATTCACAGATCTGTCAATGAATTCTGGTTCGTTACAGAATTTAAATATAAACTCTTAAAAATTCAGGCAGATTCCAGAGGAGTTTAGAGAAGTCTTAGAAGTACATGTCACTGACATTTTTCAAAGGTAATTTGGAGGTCCACTTCACCCTGGATATGGGGTTCAGGGAAGTGACTTCTGGTCCTTTTTCAGTTCAGGATCCTGACTGGGGCCCTTCTTAGGTATTAGGATGACACCCTTGACCTGAGGCCTTTAACTGTGTATGTTTGCATGTGTCTTTCAGACACCCAGTGGCAGCAGAATGAGTGCAGAGGCAAGCGCCCGGCCTCTGCGAGTGGGCTCCCGTGTGGAGGTGATTGGAAAAGGGCACCGAGGCACTGTGGCCTATGTTGGAGCCACACTCTTTGCCACTGGCAAATGGGTAGGCGTGATCCTGGATGAAGCAAAGGGCAAGAATGATGGAACTGTCCAAGGCCGGAAGTACTTCACTTGTGATGAAGGGCATGGCATCTTTGTTCGCCAATCCCAGGTACTCACACCCTACTTCTGTGTGTGTAGGGGGTGTGTGTGTGTGTGCATGCATACACGTTCACATGCTCTGTTGCATGTGCAGCTGATGTGTTGGTGCTCCCTTTTCCTGGTCATAAACATAAGTCTCTGGTTGGGAGAATGGGAGGTGGTGGGGGAGGGAAGATTATTAGAAATACATCCTTAGGGAAGCTGCCCTGTGCCCCAGGCTTATTCGGGGTCTGGGGTGGGCCCCATATTATAGCATAATGTTTTTGATCTGGCTTTACTGAATCTATTCTGTGGCCTCAGATCCAGGTATTTGAAGATGGAGCAGATACTACTTCCCCAGAGACACCTGATTCTTCTGCTTCAAAGGCCCTCAAAAGAGGTAACAACCACCCACTTAAATTGACACTCTACATCCAGGAGTCTGTAGGACTTCTCTCAGAACACGAGGCCACAGTGGATCCTGAGATTTTCCATCATCACCATCTTCTCTTGTTATCTGTGCTATCCGCCATAATGTTTTCTTGCTTTCTACAGAGGGAACTGACTCAGCTGCAAAGACCAGCAAACTGGTGAGTGGTTGGGGGTGGGAGTGGGAAGTAATAGAGAGGAGGGGAAAGAGAAAGAGAGGAGGGAGACCCAGTGTCAGGCAGGTGGAAGCAGTAGGTGAGTAAACTGAGTTAGCCTTCCAGGCTCCATCCTCCCTGAGAAGGAAGTTTTCGGTGTATGAGTTGCTGTTTTAGGGGTGAGTAAAGGTGATAGAAAGGAACATGTATTAGGGCCTAGAAGTTCAGGGTCAAATGGACTGGGGTTGGGGTGATAGGGAGGACAGGTCTGACCATAGTGTGTTGTCAACTTTGGTACTCAAGGCTGCCAAGATCTGAAGGGTCTGAGGGAAGGGGTAAGGGAGGAGCTTGAGGAAGAAGGAGGTTTCCTGTCCACAAGTGAATGGTAAGGAGCTGGGCCCTCTGCCACCTGTTTTAGGAGGTGTGCAGAGGGCCCATCCTAGCTCCCTTTTGCTGCTCTGCACAGGGTGTGTGAGGTGGGGCTCTCAGACTCTCCAGCTTCTCTGGGCAAGGATATGGACATCCTAGAAGCTGATCATTGAGGGGCCCCCTCATCTCACTTACCCAGAGCTCTTGTGCATGCCTGAGTTGGTATTAATACCTACACCCAGGATGTCTGGCCAGCTAGCCCAGAGTGATGTCTGTTTTCTAACTTTTCCCTTTCCTGCTCCTCACGCAGCGGGGACTGAAGCCTAAGAAGGTGGTGTGTTCACTATCTGTGTCTGCGGGGTGAGGGCCATGAGCCCCTCCCCAGCTGTCCTGCATGTTTTGAGCTGCTGCTTGCATGTATATGTGACCTTGGGCTGGGATGGCCAGAGGAAATGGCAGCGTTGGCTTTCAGAGTTCCTTTGAGGGCTTCAAGGATATCAGGCTCGGTGCCCAGGCCCAGGTAGCATTCATTAGGACAGTCCCTACACCACCTCACCTCAGGACTTGTAGTCAGAGACTGCAGTCACTTGACTATAAGTAGCAGCAGCGTGGACTAGAGCATTCACCGGGTTACTGTGGGTTCTTTGTTAGCCTGAGCTTGGAGCAGTGGGAGGAGACACTGGAGGGCTGGGGATGCAGAAAGTACTCAGTGAGGTAGTTGGGCAAGGAGGCGGGACAGATCACCGTAAGAACAGTCCCAACTTGGAAAGCCTGAGAGTCTGTGTGCCTGCCTCTGGGTGGGCACTGCCATGAATGCCCACTTTCACTCTGCTCCACCAGTCTTTCCCTGCCTCTTCCTGCCTCTGGTGTTGTGCCTGAGGCCTACCTCCTACCCCTTGCAGCTTTCCATCAACCATTATTAGAGTGGGGCTCAATTCTTCAGCCGCTGCCAGACCACTTCCTCACACCAGCCCCTGCCTTGGGCCTGTGCCCAGGCTGTCTCTGACCTGCATGTGCCTGTCTGACCTGTATGTGCTGTGCTATCTGTGTGATTCTGTGATTTCCTTGTTGCCAATCTGTCTCAGGCCCTTCTGACCTTGCATGGACAGCTATTGGATGGGGCAGTGGGAGGGGAGAGGAAAACATCTCCCTTTTGACTCCTGGTTGGTGATGGGTCCTCACTTTGAAGTCTTGCCATGGAAGAAACTACGTGCTGGTACTTGCTCTGGGGTTCTGGCTCAGGTGGGAATGGGGATGTAAGAAGGATAATAATGCTCTAAAGGATGCTGGACCCATTCCAAGGTCATCGAAACTTGGCTTCTTCCCTTGATTATTGTCTCCTGGTTGGGGCTCCCCTCTCACATCAGGCCTCTGGATAGAGAAGAGCATGGACCGCAGTCTGATGTCTATGGAGGAGTTCTGTCCACAGCCTGACCTGATGCTGGTGGGCCCTGAGCCATGCCCAAGAAGTCCTGGGGTTTTGGCAGTTCCTGGGGAAATGTGGCCAAGCCCAGCCTGCATGCCCCGAGCTGGGATAGAGTGCCTTTTTGCTCATGGTGCAGTGTCAGCCAAGTCAAGTCCCCCCAGGTCTTCCTCTCACAGCAGATCACTTAGCCCCGGGCCCTGCTCTCATCCCGTGGGGAGCAGGGAGCTAACTCCAGAACAAAAGAATGGACCGTGAGAGGGAGGGCAGAAGAGAACCAGATGTCTCTGCAAGGGGCCCAGTCCTTTCTGGAAGCCATTTAGAGACAGGTTTTAACTTGCCTACAGCCAGGGGATAGGAGTGAACACTATCATTAGAACTGCTGAAGGTCCCCGAGGTTTCTGAATCTCACTGTGTGCCCCCAGAGCTGATGCTGTTGTAAGAAGGGTGCTCTGGATATGTGTGTCTGATGAGAAGAGACAAAAGTAGAGTTGATGGGGTTGCGGGCTGAGGAGAGTTATGAGTATGAGTGAGGCTGATGGATCAGTGAGATCCCATGTCCCTGTCCAGTGATGCAGTGGCCCCACAGAGTAGCATTTTTGGAATGGCCCCTAGTCCAGTATCTTAGAACCAGTGCTTGGAGATGGTGAAGAGGGGAGATGTAGGAGCCAGAACTTGTTCTTTGGAGGAAGAAGCAAAGCGGGCTCTGTGCAGGACTTTGTCCAGTCATGAGGAGAAGGAGGAGCCAGCACACTCAGGCAGTTGCTAGGTGACCGAGGAGCAGTGGCTCCACCCACAAAGAGCAAAGGAGGGTGGGTGCATGACGTCAGGTGGAGCTGGTGCTGCGGCCACTGAGGCTGCCATAAGCTTAAGCTGGAGAACTGGGCCGGGTACCTCTGTGGTGCCCGCAGGAGCCTAGCTGTCCCTCTGTGCATCTGTGGGGCTTCTGCATCCGAGCCGCAGCCATTTGCGGCCTGGGAAGCTGCTGGCTGGGAAGCTGAGGCTGCACTGTTGGGATTTGATGCACTAATCTCCTGTCTCCGCCGCCTTTCCCTCTGTTCGGTCTCTTTCCCTCCCTCCCTCTGTCTGTCCTTCCTCTGTGTGTCCATCCTCCTCTGTCCCTCCTATTCCTTGTCCTGGCTTTCTTTGGTTTTCTGCAATGATGAGACAGGCACCGACAGCTCGAAAGGTACTCTTGCTTGTTCTAGTCCTGCTGCCGGGTTGCCTGGGCGATGGTGGCAGCAGGCTGCTGGGGTGGGGGTGGGGGTGGGGGCTGATTGACTTCATCTGTCTACCTGGTTGGGGGAGGAGGGTAGAGTTGACGTAGGGGCAGGGAGAGGTGTGTGTCACTCCCATGGCTCATGCCCTGGGTATTTTGCTCCCTGCCCTGCCTGCTTTTGGCTCTCACTGAGTCTGTGTCCTAGGCCTTGTACCCAGTGGCCTTGCAGGCTTGGGGTTCAGGCAGCTTCTGCTGCAAAGCAGCTCTGGGAGAGATTCCTGTGAGAATCTGGGGAAGCAGGTTCAGACATCTCTGCACCTCTAGCAGACTACCTCCACCAACCTTTGCTAGAATGACTCCTGGTTGTACTCTCAGCACCCTTCCCCCACCAGGGTCTGTATCAAGGGGCTTTCCCAGGGTGGATTGGGGACCCTAGAATAGTTTTTAACCTACAGCCATGGAGGCTTGGCTGGCGGGGTGGGGGGGGGGGGGGGGTCCTTGGGCTCAGTGTCTCCTAGAAACAGGGCCCCAGACCAAATCTTATCTTTGCTGGAGCCAGGAGGTACTGGGTAGCAAGAATGCTATTTGGGAGTTGAAGTTAATCATCTTGACCAGTTCGCAATAACCTGAGAGGATTCTAGATTAGTTTCAGCAGTAGTTTATGTATGCTTCTGCCTACCCCCACCTCTGTTCTTGCAGCAGGGTGGGGTTACTTTGCTGAGCTCTGGGCTTCTGGCTAATGCAGTATTCATGGTCCTGACACCTGAGCCCTCTGCCCTAGGGATGGAGACTGCTATAGGATCTGTTCCTGAGCCGGGGTGGTGGGGGTAAGGAAGACAGCAGTGTTCTGCCTTGGGGGCCTGGTCTCCCTCTGTTGGGTTTTTATCACTCACTTCTGGCCTCAGGTCATCAGTCTTGTCACATGGTATTTCTGGGGGGTCCTCTGTGGAGTCTAGCACTTGAAGGAAGGGGGCTGATGTGGGAAAGTCCTTGGGGGAGGTGGGTGGGTGGGGCCTCTGGCTCTGGCTGGAGTGCCAGAGTTGTTTGCAGAAGGCCTGGTCTCTGGAGACCTCCACCAGCTGCTGCCTTTGGTCTCTTGTGGCTCAGTCAGGGAGACTGGGGTTCTGGGATTTCCAGGGTATCTGAAGCAGTGAGGTCAGCAAGGGTTGGGCATAAGTGGGAGAAGGAACCAATGGGGAACCAGAGTTCTGAGTTCCTGGAGTAGGAACAAGGTGATTCACTGGCGGGAGAAAGGGGTGGGTAGGGGTAAGGGTGGGTGGCTCATCGTAGCCCCATTTCTGTTATTTCTTCTGCTCTCATTGCTGTCCCTTTTGCTGTCTATCTTTGTGCCATTATCCTTTCTTTCCTGACTACTTCTACTCCTCTGGCTCCTGTTGCCTGTCCAGACCACAACTCGGCGGCCCAAGGTGAGAAAACACAGGCCTCTGTGCGAGCCATTGCAGAGTGTACACACACATTTCAGGCATGTGCATGTATGTGGGCATGTGTGTGACCAAGCAAATGTTTGTCACGGTGCATCCTGGGTTCTCTTTTCATGGGATGGGGGACTGAAGGAAGTGACAGGTCACTCCTGGGAAAATGAATTCTGGCTTTTGGGAGGATGTCTGAGCCAGTAACTTGAGTGCAGAAGAGAAATAAGATGGCTGTGGTTAAGGCAGGCTTTCTTGAAGAAGGGTGTTTCGACTAGTTTTGATGGGGACAGGGATTGAAAGACAGCTGAAGAAGCACTTGGTCTTACAAATGTCAGGGTATAAGGAGTAGGTGTGTCTGTCAGTCCATGTGGTCTCTGAGTGTCTGTTGGCTCACCAGGAGAGCTTCCAAGCTCTGAATGGGGAGCACAGGTCAGGCCTGTGTGCTCTGGGACCAGGGCCTCAGGGCCTCAGGGCAGCTTCTCCGCCCCAGCTCCACACAGGCCTGGGTAGTGGTGCCTGATTAGAGCCGCTTTGTCTTGGGGGAGGGAGACGACAGAGGGTTGGCTGTGCTGACCTTGTTTCAAGGGGGAGTCTAGGAACATAGCTTTTACCTTGGCCCTTTTACATGCAGGGTCCCCTGAAGTAGAGCTTGACTCCCAAAGAGCAGGGGCGGCCGAGCAGGGATATAGAGCCTGGTACCCCACACTTAGCCCAGCCTTCTCTGGGAGCATGAAAGAACAAGCTGCAGTTTCTTCTGTCTTTCTGGAAATGACATCGCAGCACTTTTCTGTTTCTGGGGGAGGAGGGCATTGGCCCAGAGCAGTGATAAGATGGGGCGTACTCCACTGCTAGAATGCTCACAGTGGGTCACAGAAAGGAGGTCTGGGGAGTAGGCATCCTGCTCTAGGGGGTAGTGCCAGAGCTGGGCGGAATGTGGGGTCTGTGCCAAGGGAGGAGCCTTATAATCCTATGTCTTCCTCCCTCCCTTTTCCCCTCCTCCCTCCCCCCGCCCTTTGTCACTATCTCTGACTCTGTCACTTGCCTTCTTCCCTTCACTCTTTCTCTGTTCTCATTGCACTTTCATACGCTCTCTCTTTCCCCTTTTCTGTCTCGCTCCTCACCATATTCTTATATTCTGTCTTTTGCTCTTTCACCACCCTGTCCCCTACTCTTCTTCTGGTCTGTCCCTACCCTCTCTGAATAGCCCACCCGCCCAGCCAGTAGTACTGGGGTGGCCGGAGCCAGTAGCTCCTTGGGCCCCTCCGGCTCAGCGTCAGCAGGTGAGCTAAGTAGCAGTGAGCCCAGCACCCCGGCGCAGACTCCGCTGGCAGCACCCATCATCCCCACACCAGCCCTCACGTCTCCTGGAGCAGCTCCCCCACTTCTTTCCCCCTCCAAGGTAAGGACTGGGATCGGAATGAACATGAACCAAGCTGTTAACGGGCCTGTGACCGTGGCAGGTCTTGGACATTTCCCAGGGTTGAGGGAGATCCAGAACTTGGATCAGAAGGGTGGGGACATAGCATTTGAGTATCCTACCATTGACTAAGTGACCTTTTCCTCTCTTCTAGACTGCCCATATGTTTTTGTCTCTTCTCAGATGTTTATATGCCACGTGCTTTTGACCTGGGGCTGGAATGGTGTTTGCACATGTTCCTATCCTTTCTGCTCCAGCTCAGCCTTAGTGGGGAGGAGGGGGAGGCTATGCACAGAATGAGGGGTCTCTCCCTTGCAGGAGGAGGAGGGGCTGAGGGCCCAGGTGCGGGACCTGGAGGAGAAACTGGAGACCCTGCGGCTGAAACGGTCAGAAGACAAGGCGAAGCTGAAAGAGCTGGAGAAGCACAAGATCCAGCTGGAGCAGGTGCAGGAATGGAAGAGCAAAATGCAGGAGCAGCAGGCAGACCTGCAGCGGCGCCTCAAAGAGGCGCGGAAGGTGCGACTTGGGAGGACGAGGGGCTGGGGAGGCCAGCGCTCGAAACTGCCCTGGGAACTCCACTGGAGCGGGAGCCTGGGACGGTCTGTGAGGTAGGGCGCAGGAGGCGTCTCTGCACTTATGCCTCCACCAACCTCTGCCCCCAGGAAGCCAAGGAGGCGCTGGAGGCAAAGGAACGCTACATGGAGGAGATGGCTGACACTGCGGACGCCATTGAGATGGCCACCCTGGACAAGGAGATGGCTGAAGAGCGGGCCGAGTCCCTGCAGCAGGAGGTGGAGGCGCTAAAGGAGCGTGTGGATGAGCTCACCACTGACTTGGAGATTCTCAAGGCTGAGATTGAAGAGAAGGGTAAGGGGCCAGGGCTGCTGGGCAACAGATGGTGGGGTTGGAATCATGTCTGAAGGTGTCCATGGTTTTCCTCAGGCTCAGATGGGGCTGCGTCCAGTTACCAGCTCAAGCAGCTCGAGGAGCAGAATGCCCGCCTAAAGGATGCCCTGGTGAGGTAGGGTCCCTCACTGCCTGGCTTCAGAGCCCACTCTCCTGTCCAGACGCCTTAGAGTGCCCGTTGCCCAGTGACTCGGACACGTGCTCCCCTTTTTTCCCCGCTTCCCCACAGGATGCGGGATCTTTCTTCCTCAGAGAAGCAGGAACATGTGAAACTCCAGAAGCTCATGGAAAAGAAGAACCAAGAGTTGGAAGTTGTGAGACAACAGCGGGAGCGTCTGCAGGAGGAGCTGAGCCAGGCAGAGAGCACCATCGATGAGCTCAAGGAGCAGGTCTGGGGATCCCAGCCCTCACCCAGAGTCGCCCTCTAGCACCCTTCAGACCCCTGCAGTACCTCCTCTCTCCAGGCACTTCCAGCAGCCCTTCACCCATCCCTTCCCTGTCACGCAGGTGGATGCTGCTCTGGGTGCTGAGGAGATGGTAGAGATGCTGACAGACCGGAACCTCAATCTGGAAGAGAAAGTGCGGGAATTGAGAGAGACCGTGGGGGACTTGGTAAGAGGAGAGCAGACACTGACTTCGGATTTGGACAGAGGGTATTTAAGGGACTTGCTGAGAGAGGGACTGACACATGATCCCTGACCTTTGAGCAGGGTATATGGTGAGTGGACCCACCCTGGCCTGCTACCCTGACCCTGTCTTTCCATTGTCCCAACTCCCTCGTGGTCTCCAGGAAGCGATGAATGAGATGAACGATGAGCTGCAGGAGAATGCACGCGAGACGGAACTGGAGCTGCGGGAGCAGCTGGACATGGCGGGCGCCCGGGTGCGGGAGGCCCAGAAGCGTGTGGAGGCAGCCCAGGAGACGGTTGCAGACTACCAGCAAACCATCAAGAAATACCGCCAGCTGACCGCCCACCTGCAGGTGCCTGTTCTCCTGCTGTCCACCCGGGATCACCCCAGTGCTCCCTCGTGACCCAGCTGTGCCTGACTTTCTGTCTCTGCTCCCAGGATGTGAACCGGGAACTGACAAACCAGCAGGAAGCATCTGTGGAGCGGCAGCAGCAGCCACCCCCCGAGACTTTTGACTTCAAGATTAAGTTTGCTGAGACAAAGGCCCATGCCAAGGTCAGGAAAACGAGTGGGCCAGATAGGGGAGTGTTGGGAGCTCAGCTTGAGTGTGGCTGTGGACTGACCTTGTGTTGGGTTCCTTGGGGAGGGGCTGCTTCTTGTGGTGGTTTGGAAGACTCCTGGCCTGGGCTCGTCCTAGAAGCAGGGTACCTGGTGGAGCAAGGCACAGTGGGTCTGGGACTCTCTCCAGCCTGGCTGAGAGCCTGTCTTCCTGTCTACTTCACAGGCAATTGAGATGGAACTGCGGCAGATGGAGGTGGCCCAGGCCAACAGGCACATGTCCCTGCTGACAGCCTTCATGCCCGATAGCTTCCTTCGGCCAGGTGGGGACCATGACTGTGTCCTGGTGCTGCTGCTTATGCCTCGTCTCATTTGCAAGGTACGGCCAGGCAGTCATACGTTCATCAGGAAACTGTTGAACTTGCTGTGAACCAGGCATCGAGGAGGCTGAGGGAAGCCTGCAGTCAACGCCTCTGCTCACGTAGAGTTTATGATGTAGTGGAGGGATGTAGTCAACAAAGTTGCAGATGGATGTGTATTACAGATGGCCTCTTATGAAAGGCAGGTAGCTTCTTTGAGAGAGCGCAGTTGGGGAGCTGATTTAGATGGAGGGATGTCACTGAAGGAATAACACTTGAGCTGAGACCCAGAGATGATGAGGAACTCATGGGGGTGACTGTCAGGCAGCGTGAGCAGCAGCTTTAAGCTTGCAGGGAAGAGCTTGATCCCACTGGTTCCGCATCCTTTCACCCCCATCTCAGATTCCCACAGCCGCCCGTAATCACCACATCATCGCCCTTTCCCCATGGGAGGCTCCCTGCCATCTGAGAACGGTTTCTGTTTCATCTGCCCCCACCCACCCTGCCATAGTTACTCAGCTCTGTGTTGTGTGTTCCTGAGTCTGTGTTCTCCATCCTGGGCTCTGAGCCCCAGGTTCCTGGCACTTCTTCCCACAGGCAGAGCTGATCCGGAAGCAGGCCCAGGAGAAGTTTGAACTAAGCGAGAACTGTTCGGAGCGGCCCGGGCTTCGAGGAGCTGCAGGGGAGCAGCTCAGCTTTGCCGCTGGGCTGGTGTACTCGCTCAGTCTGCTGCAGGCCACACTCCACCGCTATGAGCAGTAAGTGACTCCTGACCCCCATTCAAGGCCGCAGGTTCCAGATTGGCTGGGACTGAGATTGCCTGGCAGACCCCGGTCTCACGGCCCTTCTCTGGTCTCTAGTGCCCTCTCGCAGTGCAGTGTGGATGTGTATAAGAAGGTGGGCAGTCTCTACCCTGAGATGAGTGCCCATGAGCGCTCCTTGGACTTCCTCATTGAGCTGCTGCACAAGGACCAGCTGGATGAGACTGTCAATGTCGAGCCTCTCACCAAGGCCATCAAGTACTACCAGGTGTGGGGCGAGGATTCCAGCTTGGTGCGGCAAGGAGGGCAGGTTTCTTTCTGGGGCTGTGACGAGCATAGCCCAGGTCGTGTGCCTGAGGCTCAGCTTGCTGTAGATGAACTCACCTCAGGATGCAGCACTTGGGAGTTTCGGGTTCTCTTGTACCTCTGGAGTCCTGCGATGACTGGGGCTCAAACTACAGTTGGGGAAGAATTCTCCATCCTTCCAAGATCTAAAGGCTATCTGTTTCTTGTCATCTCTCAGCATCTGTACAGCATCCACCTTGCCGAACAGCCCGAGGACAGTACCATGCAGCTGGCCGACCACATCAAGGTGAAGGGTCTTGGCTGGTGGTTGAGCCCCCTGTAGAGATCAAAAGTGGAGGCCATCAGGTCAAGAGGTCTGGCCCTTAGGGTCTTACGTAAGACTGGAACAAGGTCACTAAGGCCAGATCATGGAAGCCAGAGAACCCATTTATGTATGGGGGTCAGCAGAGGGTGGTGACTTCTTAGAGATGATGAGGAGGCAGAAGGGCTCCTATTGGATGCTGACAAGCGCGTGCTTCCATCCTCACAGTTCACCCAGAGCGCCCTGGACTGCATGGGTGTGGAGGTAGGACGGCTGCGTGCCTTCCTGCAGGTGAGAGCACAGCGGGGTCTGTTTGAGCTCCTCTGCCTGCTTATTCCCCTCCTCACCTGTAGCCCTAATGCTGACCTGGTTCCCCATCCACTGCCTGTTCCCTGAGTAGGGTGGGCAGGAGGCATCAGACATTGCCCTCCTGCTCCGGGATCTGGAAACATCGTGCAGTGACATCCGCCAGTTCTGCAAGAAGATCCGAAGGCGAATGCCAGGGACAGATGCTCCTGGGATCCCAGCTGCACTGGCCTTTGGACCACAGGTTTAGGGCTGGAGGGGGGGCAGGGAAGGAAGCTGAGTCGAACCAGGAGGGGCTTAATAGTCCAGATCTGGGTGTAGATGGGGACAAGAACGAAACATTTTGAAGTAGCTGGGAGCTGTGGTGCTGGGCCCAGGGTGGACTCCTGACTCTGGTCTGTTGTGCAGGTATCCGACACACTCCTTGACTGCAGGAAACACTTGACATGGGTGGTGGCCGTGCTGCAGGAGGTGGCAGCTGCTGCTGCCCAGCTCATTGCCCCACTATCGGAGAACGAGGGACTGCCTGTGGCTGCCCTGGAGGAGCTGGCTTTCAAAGCAAGCGAGCAGGTGGGCCTGGATGGCTGGGCAGCAGGTGGTAGGGGAGTCCGGTGGCCGGTGTGAGGTTTTCACTGCTGCCCTTGGCTCCTGCAGATCTATGGGAGCCCCTCCAGCAGCCCCTATGAGTGTCTGCGCCAGTCATGCAACATCCTCATCAGTACCATGAACAAGTTGGCCACAGCCATGCAGGAGGGAGAGTATGATGCAGAGCGGCCTCCCAGCAAGGTTGGGTGGGAGCTCCTTGGAGGGGCTCCCAGGGCTTGGAGGAGCAGGGCTTGCAGAGCTGCTGCTAGTTGTAGGAGGGCTGGGGGGTGGAGGAGGGACCTGGGTCTCTGAAAGCACATTGGTAATATCCTCTTCCACCCTTGCCCTCTGCTCCCACCCGGCCTTAGCCTCCCCCTGTGGAGCTGCGGGCTGCAGCCCTTCGTGCAGAGATCACAGATGCTGAAGGCCTGGGCTTGAAGCTTGAAGACCGAGAGACAGTTATCAAGGAGTTGAAGAAGTCGCTCAAGATCAAGGTGAGGGTGGGGTAGGCTCAGGATCTGGGGGCCCAGGAGTATTTTGGGGCACAGGGCAGCAGTGAGTGTTGGGGATCAGGACGGAGGTGGGTGATGGTTGGGGCTGAGGGAAGAAGAGGTGCCTGTAATCAGTGGGAGCTCTTGTGGGCTCCTAAGGAGCGTTCTGTCTCCTGGTCTGTCCCAGGTCCCCGAGGGGCCGTGGGAGGATGGAAAGCAACTGGAAGCTTTCTGCCCTTGTCCAGGGGGAGGAGCTGAGTGAGGCCAACGTGCGGCTAAGCCTCCTGGAGAAGAAGCTGGACAGTGCTGCCAAGGACGCGGATGAGCGCATTGAGAAAGTCCAGGCTAAGCTGGAGGAGACCCAGGCGTTGCTGCGGAAGAAGGAGAAGTCAGGCGCTTCCCCGAGCTCTGCTTGCTTTAGCCCTCCCTCCCGCCAGCTCTCTGCCTCCTACCGTCCCCTACCCAGGCCCCCTCACAGTGAGACTCCCCAGAACAGACACCATTTTCCTTGCCCACCACCAACCCATTATGTCACCCCAGTCTCAGTCTGTTGCCCCTGGTTCTCACCAGCAGGGTTACTCTGAGGACCCATTAGGACTGAGAGGTGGGGTGGGGTCGTGGGGAAGGGACCCTGCCCAAGCCAAGATGTTCTTTCACAGAGACTTTGAGGAGACGATGGACACACTCCAGGCTGACATCGACCAGCTGGAGGCAGAGAAAACAGAGCTGAAGCAGCGGCTGAACAGCCAGTCCAAGCGCACGATCGAGGGGCTCCGGGGGCCCCTTCCTTCGGGTATTGCTACCCTGGTCTCTGGCATTGCTGGTGGTGAGTGCAGTGGGACAGGCAGCACAGGCCCCAGGAGATCGATGGCTTTCCCCTGTCCTCGGCCTCACTTTGACGTCTGCCCCCTTCTTAGCCCTGGATGTTCGGCCAGGAATGTGTCTGCCCAGTTTCACTCTGGCAGCTTTCACCCCAATTTTACTTCCCCGAAGATGTGTGCAGAGTCCTTGTGGCCAGGGCAGTGCAGCTCAGAAGGACAGTGGCAGCTGGACTCTAGTAGATGTCACCTCTGGGCCTGCTGTCTGGCCTTTCTGACCCAGTCCTGTGTCCCACAGGGTCACCAGCCTGCAGGAGGCTGAGCTCACGGCTGTGGGTCCAGCAGGGCCTGGTGCCTGCTCTTGGTCGCTCTTCTATTTGGCATGTTTCCCCACAGAGTCCACGTGCTCCACCCTGTGGTGTGGCTGTCCCGCTGTGGCTGCGTTCTCCCAGTTTCATCAGGGCTTGTGTTCCGCCCTTGGCCTGCTCTGCAGTGTGGCCGGGGCTCCTTTCCCCGAATTCTTCTGGCTTCTAGATTCGGTGTCGCCAGTTCCCTGACCAGGGAGTGGCCTCTGCCATCTCAGTTCTCACCTGCCCTAGAGTTCGCTGGTGGCTCTCAGTTTCTCACTGGCCTTCTCACCTCCAGGAGACAGGCCCTGGAGCTGTCTCTAGACGCCCCTGCTGTACCTGTCTTGTCAGCTGCTCTCACCCAGCTCTCGTCTTCGTCAAAGCTCCCTTAGTGGTGCCTCTCAGTCTTGGGAGGTGACCAGGCACCTCCTTGACTATGGACTTCTGTGGGGCAGTTCCTGTTCTTGGGGGAAGGCTCCCCAGAATCACCACGTCGTATCGTTTTAGCATAGGCTCTTCAAACACACACTGGTTCTGATATATGAACCTTCCCAGAAAAAGGTGTCTTTGTCTCAGAGCAGCGGGGAATCCGAGGAGCACAGGGAACTTATCTGCGTTCTCAGCTGAAGCTTTGCTGCTGGGGAGACGTGAGGGTGTGATGTGTCATGGTCTCAGGTGTCCCCTCTGCCCTTCTTGGAGATGAGTGTGAAGCAAGGAGGAGGAGCGCACACTGCCACTGCTCACTCGCACACCGGCTCAGGGCCTCACTCCCGTCCTGTCTTTCTTTGCTCTTCCTCAGAGATGGAGAGCAGAGGCAGAGTCTTGTTAGAGAAGGCAGGGTGATCAGGAAAAGGGCTTTCCTGCAGGTTGTGTCCAAGGTTCCTCCAGTGTGTTCCCCTAACTCTCAAATCACCTGATTCCTCTCTCCTCTTTTCCTGCTTCCCATGGCTCTCCTGAGTGCAGAAGAACAGCAGCGAGGTAGAGACCCACCCTGGCTGGGGGCTGCCAGGGCTGGTGGGGATTGGGGCTCAGGGAGCAGGGTGAGACTTCTGCCTCGGGAGCAACCAGGACTGGGGATGGGAGGAGATAAGGGAAGGGGATGAGCAGGGATGGAGCCCGCCTTCAGCCCTCTCCTCCTGAGACGGATGTTTGTTGTGGCATCACAGGAGGCTCCCCTGGGCAGGCGCCGGGGTCTGTGCCAGGCCCGGGGCTGGTGAAGGACTCGCCGCTGCTGCTTCAGCAGATCTCCGCCATGAGGCTGCACATCTCTCAGCTGCAGCATGAGAACAGCATCCTCAAGGTGAGGGGCTGCGGGGAGGCCTAGGGCGGAGGCGGAGCATACCTGTCTCACTGACTCTAGGTGGCAGGGCCTTTGGTCACTTCTTACCGCCACCCCTCTTTTCCCTCACAGGGCGCCCAGATGAAGGCCTCCTTAGCAGCCCTGCCCCCTCTGCACGTGGCAAAGCTCTCCCTCCCATCCCACGAGGGTTCTGGCAGTGACTTAGCCCCTGGAGCACTGTATCGGAAGACCAGCCAGATGCTGGAGACACTGAATCAGCTGAGCACACACACCCACGTCGTTGACATCACTCGCACCAACCCTGGTAGGACTCACCAACCCCGGGATGAAGAGCACACCCTCCCTTGCCCCAGGGATGTGGTCCCTGCCCAGGCAGTTCCCACTGCTCTTTGGTCTGGGTGTTCAGTTTACTTGATTCATCTACTCTTATGTGCCTGCTCCATAAGAGAGCCCAGTCCCTGCACTGCTGGCCCGTCACCCCGGACAGCCCCCGCGCTGCTGGCCCGTCACCCCGGACAGCCCCCTGCGCTGCTGGCCCGTCACCCCGGACAGCCCCCCGCGCTGCTGGCCCGTCACCCCGGACAGCCCCCGCGCTGCTGGCCCGTCACCCCGGACAGCCCCCGCGCTGCTGGCCCGTCACCCCGGACAGCCCCCCACGCTGCTGGCCCGTCACCCCGGACAGCCCCCTGCCTGGGCCTTGGTGAGCCTCACCAGCCTTTTCTCCCACAGCTGCCAAGAGCCCGTCGGCCCAGCTCCTGGAGCAAGTGGCTCAGCTCAAGTCCCTCAGCGACGCCATCGAGAAACTCAAGGTCAGCTCAGACCCTGCCCTTCCTCACCCTACAGTTTGTTGTAGAGCACTCCCTGGGGGAGCTCAGCACACTCCTTCCCACGGCGTTCGGCAGGCATGCTACGTGGCACGTGGTGGGGAGTGAAAGGGAAGGCAGCTTCCTGCCTGGGATGCTCACGGTCTCGGTGCCAGCAGAAGGCAGATTCTCATCAGCACAGTGGGTTGAGCAGGATCCTCTTCACAGTGTGTGGTTTGGGTGCAGCTCTGTCAGCTGAGAGCACCTCAGGGCAGAATGATTGGGTCTGAAGGATAAGTGTCCATAAAATAAGGATGTTGGGGTGGGGATGGGCTTGGAGGTGAGAGCAGAAGTTGGGTGCTAGAGGACTGGGTTCTTGCTCCTGGTATTAGTGTCTCTGTGAAACTGGGAGATCTGGGCTAGCCTGTGGGGGTACCCTAAATGAACCCTTGTTCCCGCCTCTGCCTTCAGGATGAAGTCCTCAAGGAGACTGTGTCGCAGCGCCCTGGGGCCACCGTCCCCACTGACTTCGCCACTTTCCCTTCCACAGCCTTCCTCAGGGTAAGGGGCATGGGAGTGGGAGGGCAGCATGGAGGCTCAGGGGGGCCCTTCCCCTCCCCCCAGAACTGGAAGAGGCCTCTGGGGTCTCACGTCCAACCGCTGTGCATCCTGAGTTACCTGGCTGTACCAACTCGAGTCCTTGCGCTGCTTCCCGAAATTCCACTGTCCTAGCACGTTAACTTCTATGACTTTTCACACCAGGAGGAGCTCAGAACTCCCTGGTCACACTGTGTACCCCAATTCGAATTGGAAAACGTGATCACCATAGCCCAGGAGCCCCCAAACCTGTCTCCCAGGGGCTGCCTTGGTCTCCAGGCCCAGGGACACCGACAGGGGCACACAGTCCAGGTGGGAACCTGACTTGGGGGTCTCTTCTCACCAACTCCCAGGCCAAGGAGGAGAAGCAGGATGACACTGTCTACATGGGCAAAGTGACCTTCTCGTGTGCGGCTGGCCTCGGACAGCGGCACCGGCTGGTGCTGACCCAGGAGCAGCTGCACCAGCTTCACAGCCGCCTCATCTTCTAACGCTCCTGGCCCGCTGCTCCTTCTGCCCGCAGCCCTCCTGCAGCCGCTCCGCCCGATGCACAGCCGCTCGGCGGCCCCGGGAGCAGCACGTGTAGAGCTGGTCTGGCCCAGTGCAGCTTCACTCCACCCATCAACGCCCTGCCCCGTCCCTTGGCCTGGGTCCCCGTTTCCAGTCCCTGGCCTCTGCCAGGTGCTGCCTCCTTCCTGAGGGGCCTCAGGGCATGTGGGGGAATAAGCTGAGACCCCACCACCAAAGGTTGAGTGAGGTCCCCCTGACTGAGGACTTCACCCCTGATTAAAGCAACTTCTGCTTCAGTGTGTTCTGTGTGGTGTTGCGAGTGGGTGCTGGGCCGTTCGGCTCGAGCAGGAGTGGAGGAGGAGGGATGCTGTGCCGAATTCGAGGGCCCCTCTCGGTGGTGACCAGTGGAAAGCTGTGTCCTTCCTGTTCCCATGCAGCGTGTCACTGAGCAGGGGAGGACAGGGGGAGACCCAGGGCTCCGCACCTGCCTCCACTGGCAGAGATGGAAGGGCTGAGGGTGTGCCGCCTCTGCTTCCCGGCTCCGCTGCTCTTCCGGCAGTGCTGGGAGCGGGGCAGGTGGTGTGACCTCCACCCCAGCCTCCCTTCTGATACACTGGCCGCAGTCTGCCCGTGAGACCTGGGGCCCCTGCCAGGGAGCCTTTGCTAAGTAAGGGAAGACCAAAGTAGCAGACTGCTAAGGAAGGACAGAAGTCACAAAGTCCCTCTGCTAATTAGTATCTGGGGAGTTGTTTGACAAATGTACAGATTTATGGACCCCAGCCCAGGCCTGCTGAAGTCACTTAGATTTGAGGCCCACTGAGCCAGTAAGCAGCAAGCACCCCATTGCTTCAGAGCTTAGCACCAGCGTAGTCTCGGCTGGCTCCTTGGTGTTCTCTCATTCTCCCCGTGGGGAGATCCTGCCCAGGCTCCCAGGGGTCTTCGATCCCGGTGGAGGAAGAGATCCTTAGCACTTAGGAGCATCTCCGGCTACGTCAGGCCCTCCGTTTATGTGCTTCCTCCCGTTCGGGAGGGGAGCAGACAGGGTGAGGAGGCTTCCTGTTGGGACCCGGCGCACACAGTCGGTGCCAGGCACATCCCCAGTTGAACACCCTTTGGGGTGGCAGACACCCTGCTTGTGATCCCTGCCCTGTACCTTCGCCCTTCTCAATTGGAGTTCCAAGAGAAGAAGATTTGGTGACTTCCCTCAATACTCAAGGGTGATACATGGCTAATACCTTTCTAGATGCACAGGCTAGAAAGAGGGCTACCTTAGGCTGTTAGGGCTTAGTTCTCAGAACCGATTGAGAAGGGTTGCTGTGTCTCGATGCCAGAGTCTTCACCAAATCAGGCTCCTGTAAGGCCAAGAAGATTGTGGGTGACACTGCCCTTTCCTTGGGATTGGATAGTGTTCCTGTCCTTTTACCCAAGCTGCGGGCCTGCCTTCTGATTGTGGTTAAGGTACTGAGAAGACTGGGCAACTCCCGGAAGCTTGTTCAGAGAGGACAGGGCTTGTTCCATCCTTTCCCCTGGTCTCACCACTGCTGCTCTGACACCAGACTCCTTCATCCGCTTGCCTGTTGGCATCTGTCTCAGCATCAGCATGTCTACCGTCATCTTCCCTGTCCTGGATGCAATGAGCCACAACCTGGATTTCTGATGCCTTCTTCTCTCATTAGCTAATTTACTTCATAGCTGATTGAGTTAGTCCTGTCCAGTTTCTCCTTCATTACTATCTCAGTTCTGCTCACTTTTTTCCAGTCCCTCCCCTGCTAACTTTGACATAATTTCCACACATCCACTAGAGCAGAGGCCTCGGGGGAAGTGTGACAGGGCCAGGAAGGAGAGGTAGTCGGCAGCCTTTTGTGCAACTAAGAGATCAAGTGAGATGAGTTCTGGGAAGTGGCACCTGAGGACCCGGTGAGCGGCCAGAGCGGTCTTGGTGGATACAGGAACAGAAACGGCTGTGGAGAGAAGGGGAGAGAGCTGCACACAAGCATGGCTGTGTCCCACGCTCAGCTGGGGAAGCTGGGCAACCGGGGATGGCAGAGGCTGACGCAAGCATCACTGCCCATGGATGATGATGGGAGCTGTTCACGGGGCCCTGAGAGGTGTCTGGAAATGGACGTGACGGTGGGGAGAGAGGCCAACAGGCTCCCTGTGTACTGAGGATGGAACACAGCATGGGAACGGCCTCCTTCATTCATCCAAACCCAGAGCTGCCAGGTGTGACAAGCAGACTGGCTGGCAGTTGGCAGGGGCAGCATATGAACTGTCCCAATTTTGTCCCCTGGTACCCCCTCTCTTTTGGGAGTTCTCAGGCCAATTCCCAGGGCCAACATCATCTCCCCCAACTTTGAGGAAGGCAAAATATTTGTGAAGTAAGAAGAGGGCTCTTCCACTTTGAAGCTGTGAACTTGGGCAAGTTGCTTACCCCCCAGACCTCAGTTTCTGAACCTGTAATGTGAGGTGAATAGCACCGTCCTCGGGCGTTCCTTCCTTGGGTGATTGTCAGGGGAAGAATAAATGAGACTGTAAGCTTGACACAGGTATTGATAAAAAGGGATACCTGGGAGAGGATGATATTGAACAAATGAAACACAAGCAGCCATGTTCCCAAGATAAACACTTATGACACAGCCAGAATTTGAGTTCCAAAGGTTAGGCAGTCATCAGTGCCTAGTCATCCCTGTTTTGGGCTAGTTTCCATGGGTGGTGATTATCTTACTTTCTACCATTCAGGCTCTGTTGCCTCCTACTGTTAGCAGGCCAAGGCCGAGGGGGAGTCAAAGGTTTGTGGCACTTCCCCTGCCCCCCAGCCAACTTGAATCTACCTGCTTGGTTACCATTCTCTGTGCTACCCCGCCATGGGGAACAGGAGTGGGGGACAGAAGAGACCAGAGTCTGCCAGCTAATCTAGGAAATGTGCAAGGCTCAGGCCGATTCCGTCCTACCCAGCCCTGGAGCTGAAAGTGACTAGGAGCACGTGTGTTCCACCCAGGAAGCTTTACAGCACAGAAGATACAGCCTCCGCTCGCTCGACAGGCCCAGGGCACCCACAGAACACGGGACCGGAGAGCGCACAGCCCCTCCTGCCTCCCTGTGGGTGTCACTCTCTGTAGCGCCCCCTCCTCCGTGCACATTGAGAAGCATGTTCACGCACTCAGCCTTCCTCCATCCCTACCACGTACGCTGGCCCAGGGATGGGCAGCCATGGCGCAGGGGTGCCTGGGAGGTGGGCCTCCCTTCCTCTCGGGAAGGCTAGGGAGTTCAGGGGTGAGACCTGGAGCCTGTCACCCTGTGTTTTGTTACTTTTTATTATAGGAAACGTTAATATACAAATGAAGAAAGAAGAGTGTAATGAATCTCCATGGGCCCATGTTTATCGTTTTCAAGACCGATCTTTTTGCATCTACACCCCATTCAATCCCAGACTATTTTGTAGCAAATCTCAGACATCATATCATTTCATCCTAAAGTATATTAGCACTAAAAGATTGCACTCTTAGAAAAAAGGAAACTACAATATCATTGTCACACCTAAAAAAAGAATTCATCATATATCCGGTGTTCAAATTTCCCTGATTGTCTCATAAATGTTTTATTTTATGTATGTGTGTTTGGGTAAAGTTCAAGAGAAAGACAATATACTATAAATAGTTTTGCTCAAGTCCCATATTCTGAATTACCATTATTGTACCAATGCAACATATGCTTTAGATGCATATATCTTAAACTTTATTTTCAATGTGTCAGCAATTCAAATCTATAATGTATTATCAACCTGAGAATACAAAGAACACAACATGGAGGAAGATTGAGAACATAGTGTCCCAGTACCTAGTCAGGAGTGATAGTAGAGTTTTTCCATATAGTGTTTTCTATTAGAAGCAGGAATTTAAAGGTGCCCTTCCATGGCTCAGCACGAACAGAGCTGCTCGAGGGGGAGTACAATAAAAAATAAAATGGACCCAAAGTTAGGAAGAGATGAAAGATGGAAGTCAAGGAGAGACTATGTTTGGAAACTATAAGGATCTTGTTCATTCAAAGTGGATGAACACTCTACCTTCACCTGGGCGGCTGTAACAAAATACCATAAACCATGTGGCTTATCAACCACAGAAATTTAGTTCTCACAGTTCTGGAGGTTGGAAGTCTGAGATCAGGGTGCCAGCATGGTCTGGTTCTGGAAAGGGTGTGTGTGTGTGTGTGTGTGTGTGTGGTTACAGGTAGCCGACTTTTCACATCCTCACATGGCAGGAAGAGTGAGCTAGCTCTCTGGCCTCTTACGAAGGCACTAATCCCATTCTTGAGGTCCCCACACTCAAGACCTAATACCTCCCATGGGTTCTACCCTCAAATACCACCATATTGGGGATTAGATTTCAACATACAAATATTTTGCCCTAGCCAGTGTGCTCAATGGTTAGAGCATCAGCCCATGTACCAAAGGGTCGCAGGTTCGATTCCTGGCCCTAGTTGGGATGTGTATAGGAAGCAACCGATCAATGTGACTCTCACATATTGATGTTTCTCTCTCCTCTCTCTCTCTGTCTTTCTCTGCCCCTCCCCTCTCCCTTCCAGTCTCTCTAAAAGTCAATGGAAAAAATATTCTCGGGTGAGGATTAAAAAAAACAAAACAAAAACATAAATTTTGAGGGACACAAACATTCAGTCCATAACAGCATCCAGATAGGTACTATGGAAAGAAGTTATATCCTCTATTTCTCCTCAAACTGCCCATTAATGAATCATCTAGACCTAGATAGTGCCTGTCCAGCTGAGGAAGATTGTATGTGGAAAACCCAGCAGTGGGAAAGGAAAGAGATAGAGAGCAACTTGCTTTTTTTTTTTTATCCTCACCCGAGAACATTTTTTCCATTTTTTGTTCAGATAGAGTGGGAGGGAGAGAGAGAGAGAGAAACATCGACGTGAAAGGAGAGAGAGAGAGAGAGAGAGAGAGAGAGAGAGAGAGAAACATCAATGTGAAAGGGACACATCGAGTGGCTGCCACCTGCACGACCCAACCAGGGCCAGGGACAAACTGCAATGGAGGTACATGCCCTTAGTGGGAACCGAACCCGGGTCTCTCTGGATCGCAGGCCAACGCTCTAACCACTGAGCTAAACCGGCCAGGGCACAACTTGCTTTTGAGATGCTTTAGGTGATGGGTACCAAAGTCTCCACTCTGGGAAACCTGTCAAATAGCTGAAGATGTAGCTCTCCAAGTCATCCAAAGATGTTGCACTTTTCAACCAACAGAAAATAGCGGAGGAGTCACTGACACGCCCTCTTTTCAT